ACAAATGGATCCGTCAGCTTTTTGGGGTCCAAAAATATCATGGCCCTGGAGGAGGTGGCTGCAGCTCTTGGTGAGGCAGCAAGCCCGGGAACTGTGATTCTCCCTGAAGTCCAGCTGTTTCACCCATGGCAGGGTGACAGTGTCCTCAGCATCCACTTCATCCTCCATCCTGGCAGCACGGAGCCATCTCACCTTTCTGCCCCCGAGAAGCAGCCAGTGCAGGTTCCACACAGTTGTTTGTCAGCTGCTGAAAGGAGAGATGAACAAACGAAGTGTGGAAGGGTGAGGAATACTGAAAAATTCCAGAGCAAACTGCATTCTGTGGCACCCATCTGCACTCTTGGGCCGTACACCCCAGGGGAAAAGAGTGATGAGTTCCCCAGAAATCTGACGTCAGCACCTCACCTCAGCATGGGGACAGATGCATATAGTGGGATGCTGCGGGTCATTTTCTCCCAGGGGAATGCCCTGCTGAAAGGTTCCCAAGGCAATAGGTGGCTGCAGCTGCAGGCTCTCTGCCAGCAGCTGTGCCCAGAGTGGGATCTGGAGGCTGATCTCACAGCCAAGACAGCGCCATTCATCGGCACTCAATAAACAAAAGTGCCTCGCTGTTTTATCCCAGAGATAAGCATGGAGGGCATGAGATTGCTTTCCCTTGCGCTGTCTGTGCTGAGCGTGGGAGCCTGTGCTGGCTGCCAAAGGAGCTGAGGCACTGCTGCTGTGGCACATGCTGGGAATGGGGCTGCCGGGTGTCAGGCAGCCCCGAGGCTGGAGCCTCACAGGTGCTGGGCACTCTGAGATGCTGGTGCTCACTGGAGGCTGCCAGCCCTGCAGGACGTTTTTATTAGGACCTGGGCCATTGTTTAAGCCAGCTCATGACATGTTACTCATTAGAATTCCAGCTGCTTTAAAAGTCACTTAAAAAAGGAAGAAGAGTCTACCTTTTGTGTGTGTGTGTGTGTGTGTGCTTTGAGCATCGGGAACTTTATTCCCACTAATTGTTCAGCATTTGAATCAAATAGCTACTAAGAAGATGTCTGCAGCCTCTTTTCAAGGAATAATGGGCAGGGAGGACAGACCACATACACTGGGTTCAATAGTGTGTTTTTTCAGCTTGAGCTTTTGGGGACAACAGAGCCGGGTTTGGGGTTAAGCTGTCCCCTTCTTGCACTCTCCAGCTGCATCCACATCTTCTCTCACTTCTGTAATATCAAGTATCTGCACAGAAAATGAAACCAGATCTGCTGGGTCAGTGGTTTCTGGGTGCTTCCTGCCATCCAAGCTGATGGCCAGCTGTGAATATGTTCGTTTTACTCATTCTGTTTGACTGTAGCCTGTATGCCTCCCCTAAGGTCTCTGTGCTGTTACCTTTGGCAACACATCCCGTGGTCTCAATGGAGAACAAGATCAGGCTTGGTTGGGATTGATTTTTCCAGAAAATGATGTTGACTGGTGCTAATTACATTACTGCCTCTTCAATATTTATCAGTTAAATTGTCTCCCAGTGCTCTGAGAATCATGTCCAGAATGGCCAGCAGGCCAAGGGAGCCGTGACCAAGCTTGCCCAATTTTAATTTTTAAGCATTGGTTTATAACCACACTCATCAGACACTTGGGGATTTCACTGGCAGTCCACAATTTATTAAAACAGAAAAAAATACAAATGGGGAAGGAAACTGAAAAGAGAGACCTTGTGAAAGTCTCTTTCTTTGTAGCAGACTGAACTTGACCCATGTTCTTGTAGGGCTGAACCAGCCCACAGCCCCTCTGGGAGGCGGGCTGAAAGCAGTGCATGATTTTGAGACTCACACACGACAAGCTGAGCACAGAGCTGGTATAATGGTCTTGTGAGCACCATGATGACAACAACATTGCCTTGTACAAATCCTGAGCTGTGCTCTTCACCTTGTATCAGACACAGTGCCGCTTTTGAAGCTCCATTTTGTACCAAACAGTTTTAAATCTCTTTTGTGTCTGTCAGGAGAAAAAAATTTCAGGTCTGAGAGCAGAGGAAACCTTGACAACCTGGCACTCGCTGAATGCGAACTTTCTTCCTCTGCTTCTTTTTTTTTATCCCCTCTCTTAAATGCTGCCGGAAGAAACGGGTCCTTTGTGCCACGCAGGTTACAAAGAGCAGTTGTTCTAATGCAGCAGAACCAAAAATAAAAATGTGTGATTGCAGTCCTCCTGAGACGCAGCACAAAGATGGACAGTGTTAACCTCTTCTTTGCCAGGGGATGGCAATGTCCTGCCAGCACATCTACACTGTGATAATCAGTAACATCTATGCCTCAAGGCACACTGAGTGCAGTTCAACTTTTGACTGAGAAGGTACAGCACAGTGAAACCCACTGATGCCTTTACAAAGCAGGGCAGAGTAGAGATATGCCACCACCAAGGGAAGGGATGGGAAGCTGTTTTGTAGCTGTGGAGTGAGAAGGCCAGAACTCCCCTACGCTGTTTCACTGTTCCCCAAACTGGGAATTCCTGCAGCAGTGCCCTCCGCAGCAGCTTGCCTGCAACTCAGGCCTTGCTGCTTGTTTTTCCAAGGACACGGTGGAGATAAGACTGTGGTGTTAGATAGACTTCTCTGGCATCTCCCTGCCCATTGCACTTGCATTTTTCTCTTATGCTGGATGCTCATCCAATATATGCCCATAAAACGGCCACAGCACACAGTCTCCTTCCTTTGTCAGGCACCACCCTTCTGGAGGGAGCTTTCCACCTCCAGTGCTGTATCTTCTCATGCTTTGCTCATCCCAGGTTGAAAAGCATATGAGAAAAGCTGATCTCCTTTTCACCTGTAGCCAACTCATTAGCACTGGCATCTGATGCTTTACTGGCCTCTGGTTTGCATCTTCTCACCTTGGGTTCCAGGTCCCTGACTGGGATAACAAGCTCCTCTTGTTTTCAGGTGTGTGAACAACTGTGATGTTTCTGGGCTGTTCCATATAATGACTCGATATAATTGTCACTCTCCTCATTGTGTGTGCACAATGTCCTCATTAGCCCCACATGCTCCTGGGAGCATCCTTGTAGGCACTTTTTTCTAGTCACCTCCGATTCACTGCACAGGAAAACTGTGCACTGATGCTCTGCCAGCTTCCATGGGCCCTTGGTACAGAGCTGGTAATCCCACACTCACCTAGGGCCTGGTGCATGTGAGCAATGAGGGAGGCTCTTACACATGTATTCCTCTGGAGATCTTCCCCTCTTTCCCTGGTGGTATCACACCTGTGTATGTTACGGAATCACAGAACGGTTTGGGTTGGAAGACACCTTAAAGATCATCTCATTCTAACCTCCTCTAGTGATTGCTCAGAGCCCCATCCAGCCTGGCCTTGAACAGTGGCAGGGATGGGGCATCCACAGCTTTTCTGAGCAACCTGTTCCAGTGCCTCACCACCCTCACCACAAAGAACTTGGCCATCCCAAGAGGCACAGAGATCTGTCTGGCTGCTGCTGTCCTCCTCGCCTTCACGCTTAATTTCCAAGGCCTGATGAAACGGTGTCTGTGGATGTTTTGTCCCAGCAAGGACTTGGATCCCATAACGTTTCTGAGAACTCTAGGTCCACAGTGGAGCCTGCTAACCCCAAAAACAATGCCTGCCAGTGGTATGGTGGCTTTCCTGAGGGGTGACAGGCAGCACAGTGGGCCTGGTATCCTGAAGGGAATGACAGAACCAGAGAATATGCTGAGTTGGAAAGAACCCACAAGGACATCGAATCCACCTCCTGTCCCTGCACAGGACACCCCGAGAGTCACACCATGTGCCTGCGAGCAGTGTCCAAACGCTTCCTGTGCTCTGTCAGGCTTGGTGCTGTGACCCTTCCCTGGGGAGCCTGTTCCAGTGCCCAAACACCCTTTGGGTGAAGAACCTTTTTCTAATATCCAACCTAGACTGGCCCTGACACAGCCTCAGGCCGCTCCCTCGGCTACAGACGACAGACATTATTTCTCCTCCGCTGTCGCTCGCCCCGTGCCCTGCCGTGTGCGGCCGCCCAGGATGGCCGCGGGCGGGGGCCGAGGGTGCTCGGGGCACGGCGGGGCAGCCCCGGCTCCCCGCGCCGGGCCGGCGGAGGCGGCGGCGGCGATCCCCGGGCGCCCCGGCCCGCGTTGCCATGGGGACGCGGCGGCCGCCCCGGCGGGGAGGGACAGGCGGCGGCGGCGGTTCCTGCGCCCAACGCGGCCGGAGGGGGCAGAGCTGAGCCGGGCCGGGCCGCGCCGCGCCAGGAGCTCCGCACCCCGCGCCGCACCGTCCCCGGCCCCGGCGGGAGCCGCCGCCGCCGCCGCCCGGTAAGTGTGGGCACGGCCCTTCCCAAGCCCTCCAGAGGCGCCGCCGGGGGTCCCGACACCCGTCCTACCGCCGGGATGCAGCTCTTTTACACCGGCCTGGCTCCTGCTTCACCGGCCCCGCCGCCGCTCACCCCGGCCCCTCATCTCAGGGGTGTGCCGGCCGCCCTCCCCGCGCCCCCGGGCCCTGGAGGGCCGTCCCCCCGCCCCGCAGGGCTGCGGGCTCCCCATGTACCCCCCGCCCCGCAGGGCTGCGGGCTCCCCATGTACCCTCCGCCCCGCAGGGCTGCGGGCTCCCCTCGCCCGCCGCCACTTCCCCTCCTCACCCTGGGGATTTTATGTCTCCCCAGCCCCTCCCCTCCCCTTCTCGCCGGGCTGGTCCCTCTGCCTGCCGGGGGGCCCGGGGCCGATCTCCCCGCTTGCCGGGGTGCGGGGCTGGCCCTTGCCGGGCGCGGGGGCTGCAGCCGCGGCGCGCCTTCCTCTGCCCTGCCCGCGCCGGGGAAATCGCTGGTGACACGTGTGCGGCTCCACCGAGCCGCAGCTTTTTATATTGGAAGCGATTTCAGAGTTTTTCCGGGCTTCTGATTTCTGGGGCGATTCCTAGGATTCCCTGACCGCCCCGGTCGCAGTGCAGGTCCTGCATCTAAGCCCCTCTGAGCTGCTTCCAGACTCTCCTAAGCCAGATTCCTGCCTCTTTGAGGTAGGTCAAGGTTATTGTGCTCTTCGTGCAGTGGATGGGGAAAGTGGAAATGTGGACAGACTGTGGGATTTCCTCAAGGTCACCCTGGGAATTGGACCCCAAGCATCCTCTCTCTTGCTGCACTCTCTGCAGCTGCTGGGTGAGGGTGAAGTTGTGGAAATCGGATTTTCCAGTGCCCCATCCTCTTTCCTGCAAGGCTTCTCAGCTTTTAGTTTATACACCTTGCCGGGTGTCAGGGCAGGATCCCAGCTATGTTTATTTGGCCTAATGTCTTATAGCTATTAGATGTTTACAGTTAAATAGTGGGTGTTTTTACCGTAGTATGTTAATCTCTGACAGTCTCGCTGCTGTGTTATGATCCGATTTCGTGGTGCTGCTGCTGCTATTGGGATGGTATCTGCAGTGATTTTGATCACTGCAAGTAACTGTGGCTTTGCTTCTCAAGAACTCGCTTCTTGGCAGTGCCAAGCAAAAGGCAGCTGAACTATTGGTACTGATAAGGATGTATGGGGACTTGGGTGGTGGTTGTCTTCTTGTCCTCTACTTCTATTTTGCTTTGCAGACTGTTATAAACAAAGGAGTAGGCAAGGTTTAATAGGAGGAGTTCCTCTAACCTCTTCCTCAGAAAATAAACAGTAGGATTTAATGAGGGTTTACCCCTTTGATTGTCTTGCCTGTAGGATTTTTAACTGCGTGCTACTACTTGTAGTTGTTCGTACAGGTGCAGTTTTTCTCCTGGTGCTGTGCCCTTGGGCTGATCTGTTCACCGAGTGCCTGTCGTAGTAAGCAGCATTATGTTCTGAGGGTGGTGGCGATCTGTGGCACAGATGGATGGCTGAGATGGAAAAGGGATCGAATCTGTGTTGTAAACTGAAGCCCTGCCCTGCTCTGAAGGAAAGTCTGCAGTCCTGTTTGACGCCCAGCAATCTTGTTAATGTCTTACTAGGATGCCAGAGCCGTTGAGCATCTTCCTGCTGCCGTTTTAGGAAGGGGTAGCGTGCTGTATTAAGTTACTAAAAGGTAGAAATCGCTGACAGCCTGTCAAGGCCATTTGCTCTCCTGTTCCTGCCAAGATTTAAATTTAGTGGCCAAGATGAGGGGGCAGTACCTACCTGGCTGGCCAAGGTGACAGCATCATGTCCATGTGGAAGCAGCCCCCTGCTCGCTTGTGCGTCATGTTTTGTCTGGCAGGGCAGAGGTGTGATGGAGAGAAGGGATGGAGGCACAGTGACTGCTGGTCGGTGTGCCTTGAAACCTGGGAGCTATAGGATTTGGAGCTGTGCTCTGATAAGAGAAGTTTGGGGAAAGTCTTGCTTAGAAGCTGTAAGCATTTCATGTGCCTGTACAGCTGTTCTTGCGTAACTGTTGTCATCCTGAGAATTGTGAAATAGTAGGAAGGAGAAATTTCCCAGAGTAGGGCAGCTTTGTTTAGAGGTAAATGTTATGCTGTGTTTAGCTAGAATAAAATCTGTGTGTTGAGCCAGCATCCCTGACCAGGGGCCCAGTTCTGCAGATTCCCGTGAGAACAGCTTTCCCTTGAAGGTTCAAGCCCAATCTAGGGAGCATCATTGTTGCAGGGTATGTGATGACCATGCAATGCTGTGAAAATAGTTAAATATCTTTGGCGCATCCTGAGGAGTACACCCAGTGTTGATAGCTGGGTGTGCATCTGCAGCATGAACTACAGGTTGTGCCCTGGATGGGGGAAATGTCAGGAGCCTCAGGAAAGGGGCTGTGACCTGGTGCTGACCCTTTGAACAACAAAGGGCACAGGGATACAGCAAGAGCTGATGACGCAGCAAGAAGACCCCAGACTGTCTGGGTGCACAAACTGTAAGAATATAAAAGCCCAGGAATGCTTTTGTTAGGGATCCCTTCCCAGAGGCATCAGGTCAAGCTGGTTTTGTGTCACTGCACCACGATTAAATTACTTAGAGGATCCAGACATCTGAGACTGCTATGGGAAACCCAGGGCTGAGCCAGTAAGGAAACCCTGTCTGACTGTGAGTGTGGGGTGTGCAGGGAGCCAAGAGGGGCACCCCTGGGGTCACTGGAGCCATCTGCTGTGGAGGGACTTGGGTCCCTGCAGTGAAAGTCTTGGAATGGGGGGAGTGTGACTGACAGAGTAGCTACTGGGTAGTCAGAAAGGAGTTTCCTTAACATATTCTGGGTTTTATCTGAAAAATCTGTAGCCAGGAGGCTGTAAGATGGGTGACTGATGAGTTGTTCTTTCTTCCTCAGCAAGAAGTACCTGGGTGTGGAGTAAGGATGTGTGATTTCCATCTCTGGTCCTCCAAAGGGTCAGGCCTTGGGTTTGCTGCTGGGCTGGCAGTTACTTGTTTTACAGATGGTAGCAAGCCTCTGGACTTACCCCACTGCGGAAATAAAATGCTGCTGGAGGGTAATTGCCAGATTCACAGTAGCTACTGGAAGGTGGGATGTCCTTGTGAAGTCTGAGAGATGAAAGATTTGTCTGGTGGGAAGAAAAGTTCGGCAGTGTTGACCATAACTGCAGAGGGACTCGTGTCCCCTGGTGCTGAGTAGCAGCAGGTCTGCCTTGTTCCACATGATGCTTGCTTTTGTCACCTAATCCCTGGTCTCACTTGCAGGCAGGGAACTGCAAATCTTTTGCACTGCCAACTTTCCAGTGCCAGCAAGATGTCTTGCACAGGGTGTATCTCTTAATGGGCTGGGTTTATCTGCCTAAAATCATATTAGGCTGTCAGAATGACATAAAACAGCTTTGAACTAGGCCCCAAGGGGAAAGGAGAAAGGTTGGAAAAATGCAAAATATTTTTGTTCCGTAGTTAGGAAAGCCTGGGCTGGGTAGATGATGTGTAACTAAACCAGGTTTAGAGTGGCTGGAACAAATGATCCTGAGTGCTGCAGTTCATGTGTGTTATGATAGGATGCTAATGCCCTGTGAAGGGAGTTTCTACAGTTTTCCCGTTTTCTAGGCTGTTTCACAACAGAGAAGTACTTCTTCCTAAGCCTACCTTTTCCCTGGCCTTCCTTTTTTACAGTGTTTTTTTTCCCCCTGTTTTGTTGCGGTTTTTTGTTTTGTTTTGCTTTTTTTTCCTTTGTTTCTTTGTTTTTCCCTAGAATGAAATTTCTACTTTGCTGATGGCCCGTCAGTGTTGTCCCAGTGGCCTGTCAGTGCTGTCCCACAGCTGAGCACCCTCACCCTTTACTGGAGTAAGTTGATACAGCTCTGGCAGACAGTGGAGCAAATTTGATTTACACCAGCTGAGTTTGAACATCATGTAGGAGCCTTTGAACAACAGGAAGAGTCTGGTCCCACAGCCTGTTTAGCCTGTCACGAGTTTGTTAATGGCCTGTTAGGTTTCCAGTTGGATATGTCTTTCTTCCAGCTGCCTCTGCTCTTCTGTTAAAATCCACAATACTGTGTAGGACAAATGTCTGTACTGCTCCTTCTACAGCAACAGTGCAGGATGGGGAAGAATCTGCCTGTTCACAGTATTCTGCCTTCTGCTACTGCAGGTACATAAGCACTGGTAATTATTCCTTTTACATGCGGGATGCATTCTCCTAAATCTTTAACTGTGTTTTCAGGAAATGCAAAAGCCTGCTTTAATGCCCATGTTTGCATATTCAGGCTCTTAGAAGTGACCAAACCTCTGCACTGCTACAGGTTGAGAGAGATAGAATTGTCAATTACTTATCATGGCAAATGAGCGAGACATGCTGCCTGTTGTAAGCAGTGTAGGCAGTTTTTATTTGTTACTCTTGAACATGTTGAACACCATGCCTGTGTTCCATGGTGCATTCTTCATAAATGGCTGCATGGACTCCAGCCTTGCTGGAGACAGTTGTCTTGTCTGTCTACAGTCTGGAGACAGCAGGGATGTGACTGCAAGTGCCTATTCTCTGCCAGAGAGGTGTCTGAGGTCTAACAGGGCACTGTGTTTCAGCTCCTCTGGCACCATGATTTAATGAAGCTGTCCTCCTTCAGCAAGGCTCAGTCCTCTGGCTGTACCTGCTTGGTTTGGGGACTGTCACTTGGCCATATCCAGCTAACAGTGGCAGCTTGCTAGAGCTAACACTGTGTTGCTCCAGCTAATCCTAACAGCAGATAAATATTTTTTCCTTGTCCTCTTCTGTTTGCCTTCCAGCACAGAGATAGCAGGAAGGAGGAGGTGGATTGAGCTGTCCAATGCCAAACTGGGATGTTGCTTTAACCTTGTAGTATTGATTGCCTGGTAGTTTGAGTTATTGTGAAGATAAAGTAACAGGAGGTACAAATGCTTTAGGAAACAAGGCAAAATCCCAGACAAACCTAATGAAAAGACCCTGTCACTCTGGGTGGTTTGGATTTCTGTCTGGCAGTTTCCTCTTACACATCTGCAAATATAAAAGCTTTGAACATTTTCTGCCTTAGGTGGACTGTGTCCATGGAGATTGTATGCTTGGGGAAGGGAGAGGCACCTGGGCAGTAATGCTTGTTTTGTATCAGAAGGAATATGATGGATTATTGTTTATTTAATTTATGGGGTCTCTGTTGATCTTAATTCAGTATAGCCTGTGGTGACCTGCTCACAGGAATGCAGTCTTATTTTATTTTGTTAAACTTTTTCATAACCAGTACTTGTTCTCATTTTTGTAATCCCGTTGTGGGTGGGTGACTGTGTCTTGTCAAACCTTCCTGTGCCCTGCACCTTCCTTTGGCACTGATGCTGGTGTATGGCATATCAGAAGAGCTGTCTGGATTTTTCTTTTTCTTTCCTGTGTCTGAGGCATTTATCCAGAAGCCAGGAGGAGAGAGGTTCGTTTTGACCCAGCTAAGTTTCCCCAAATAGTATGAATTTGAGGAGCTGGAGATGACTAAGTCACATCAAAGACTGTGCCTGCCCCACCTGGAGTTTTGACTTTTATGCTTGGGGCTCCTACTCTCAGTTTAAAAGCTGACCCAGCTATGAGGAGCTTTGTGGGCAGGGTGGGGAGAGGGAAGTAGAAGGAAATCTTCCCTTCTTATATAGGACAGTGATGCTTCTGCACTGAGTGAGTAACTAACTTGGAGGAGGTGTTTGGGAAGAGAGTTATGTGCTTTTCTGTTTTAATTAGAGCACAAAACTAGGGGACTTTGAGCAAATGATTTTAGTAGGAGAGAGATGCTGTGCAAGTGAGCAATTGGTTTGGATCAAGCCAGAAAGAAGTCCAGCAGCCATGATCCTTCATTTCTGAATTCAACTGCAGCTTTCAGTGAAGCATTTTTGCTTTGACAAAGGGCTGTGCTGTGTGGTGTGAGAGCTCCCAGCCGGACAGTGCTGGCTTTTGTGTGGATAAGTGCCTGGAATGAAGCTGTAGCTTCATTGTGTGGTGTGCTTAGTCTGGGCCAGCCCATCTTCACTGTTGCTGCTGCATCTCTGTTCTTGTCACTGTGGTGTCTGACACCTTACTGCCCTTAATGGGTGTGCTGCCTGCACTCCTTGACAGAGAAAAGGGCAGTTCCCTGTTGTCTGATGGGTCTGATGGGATGGAAACACCTTCTTCAAGGCCATGTACCTACCGGGAGCATGTTTGATGCCCTGTTCAGGGCTGTTCTCTTTGCTCTGTGATAGGTAGGGGTTTATAAAAAAGAAGAAATGGTGTTGTAGGGACAGGCTGTGTGAAGGGTTTCCTGTGAATTTGGGTCCTGCTTTCTCCTTTGCTACAGATTTGGAGTGTGACCTGGGGTAAGGATGTTTCTGATCCTCTCCCTTAAAATCCAATGGGAACAGCAGCACTCCAGGGGTTTGCCACTTACACACAATGGGTGTGGCAGCTGAAAGTGTGATCTGATCTAGTAAACGGTCTCTTCTTCTAGGTGTTTCATCTCCCTTTTTTGGTTTGTGTTGGCTTTCTCAAGGGTAGGTACCAGCTTCCTTTTCCATGCCCTGGGCAAGCCGAGGTTTTCTCTGTAAGGCAACAGGAACACTTGTTGTTTATGAAGGCTATTTTGGAAGTGTAGTCCTTTTTTTAAAGGAGATAAAACTCATTGTTTTGGCCTGACCCCTTTCTCCTGAGCTATCCCACTTGTTTTACTAGCAGCTAATTATGTGCATGACCTGAGCAGCTGTTGTGTTTTTGATGCACTTTTTTATTTTTTGCAGGAACTTACAATGTAGATTCATTTACTGGTGCCTCACACTGGTTCTTCAAAACTAATGGAGAGCCTAAAGGAAATAGCTTGGGTACTGAAGCGAGAAGCACTGCAGAAATGCCAGACACTATATAAACAACTAAACTCAGCCCCCGGCCCTTCCCGAAAGGGAGATAGATGATTTGCAGAAATCCTTCAACAGATGGTCTGAATTTGGCTTTGGAAAGGGGGGAAGAAATGCCAGGTCTCTGCTGAGCTGTGTGTGGGCGCATGCCCGCGTGCGCCATGCAGCGTGTTCCCTGCCAGCACGCTCCAGGGAGGCTGAGCAGGCTGCTCCCACAGCCTCCTGTGCTCAGGAGGCATCTGCACACCGCTGACTCAGTCCCCGTGCCCCTGCCAGGGCCCTGGTGCCGAGCAAGCTCCCATTTTCCCTGTGGTGAGGTTCCGCTGTGCCCGCTCGTCAGACTGGTCTGGTGGAGGTGAGCCACGGGCAGTTTGCAGACACGCGGAGTCAGCTTGTGACAAAGAGGCTGCAGAGCTGCTGGGCAGCTTCTGAGATCTTGCTTGGCACACGGCTGAGGTTGTAGGAGGGCCTGAAGACCCTGTAGGGTCATCTGACACTGGGTTGTCCCTAGTGCTGGTGCAGTGACCTGTGTCAGTGCAAACTGAGGTGGTATGGAGCCAGAAGCAAATTAATCCGCTGTGGTAAAGGGCATGTGCTGCTTGGACACACCTGTGCATACATGTGAGCTGGCAAACTTGGTGGCAGCTTGAAAGGGCATGGGAAAGAGTTGGTTGTCGTGGTTGGGAGCCTTGATGAACTCTGGCAGAGCTGGCTGCTATGGCCAGCCACCCCTCTTCCTCTCCCCGATGAGATTACTGCTCTTGCAGGGGAGGGAGAATTTGTTTCTCCCGGAGTGCTGCATCACATCTTGAGTGGGCTCTGCTCTGGGGCAGGCAGGTTCCCATGTCAGTGGTCACAGCTGACTCCAGTTGGATTATGGATTGGGGCCCAGAAGGCCTCGTCCAAGGACCTCTGGAGCAGAACAGTGTGTCTAGTTCCTGCATTGCCAAACTGTTGCTAGTCTTTCAAGGCAACGTGCCTGTTCCACTGCTCAGTGGTATGACAATTCCCTGTGTCTACTGCTGCCTGCTGTTGCTGCCGTGCACTCCTTGTGAGACAGAGCTGGTAATTAGAGCACAGTTGTGAGGTGCTCTTCAGGAGTGTTTTACGTTTGGAAAATTTTTGAAAACAGGTCTAATTCTTAAGTAATGCAAGATGAATTGCTTCCCTGAGGATGTGTCAGGTGAATTCTTGTGGATACATCTGTCGGGTAGTAGCACTGCACTGCGCATATGGAGTAGCCAGGTGAGACATCTGATGTGCAGAGAATGACTTTCCGAGTCTGATTACTTCACTTTTTCCGTTCTTGTGTTACTCATCTCCCTGCACTCTGTTTAGGTGAGCAGTACTGGATGTGTTTTCATTTGTCTGTAGCCTCCTAAATACATTGTCTTTGCTGAGAACGCCTTGCCTGCCTTGCAGCCTGCTGATTCACAGCGCTCTGGGTGAGCAGGGACCTGGTGAATGGATTATGCTTCAAACTCCTGAGCCATCGGGCAGTGGTTGCAGCCCCCTTGACAATTCCTGTCTTTGTAACAGAGTGTGTATGAGTTTCCCTGGAGGAGCTGCTAACCTCTTCAGAAGCAGCATGACCCATGTGGGGCTGCTGATGTGCGTTTAGCAAGGAACCATTTTGCTGTGGTCTGGACAGTTTTGGCGTGAGCAAAACAGCTGAGGTGGGAGGCAAGAAGGGCTGTTGGCAATGCAGGAGTGAAGCAGTTGCATTCACGTACCCCCCCAGCAAAGGGACTGGCAGCAGCAGTGTCCTGTGGCTGAGAGGCAAGGAATATTGACTAACGTGACATTTAAGTGGTATTTCTTCTAGTGCACAGGGAGCATTAGTGAAATTCTGCCTTTGGCACTGAGAAGTAACGAGATAAGCTTTGTTCTTCAGAGAGGTCTTTACCTGCTGTTGCAAAGTGTTTGGAAGGCTGGGAAATGTCCTTTTGTTACCCTATCAATCCTCCATGT